TACTAGGTGGCCAATACTACAGACATACACATTCACACACATACACACAGATGTATGAATGAATGAAGTAACTAACTAGTGTAGGATTGATATGGTGACATCATTCATTATTATTATTATTACTATTAGTATTATTGTTCAATTCATAAATAATTAGAAGACAAGTGGGCGAACAACACTGTTGTTTTCAAATTATATCTTCTTCTGGCTTTACTCGAATTTACATAGATTTATATATAGAAAATTTAACAAATGACAGCGCTTGTGTATCAAATAATAATAATGTTTTGAACGTCAGTAAGAACGATAATTATTATGATAACTGACGTTCAAAACATTTAACATATTATTATTAGTGTTATTTGATTCACAAATTCATTATCACTTGTTGAATTTGTTTTTCGTAATATGTATAAAGCTATGTAAATTCGAGTAATGAAGCCTAAAGAAGATCAAATTGAAAAGAATATTTTCAAGGATTGGTTTTGTGTAGGGATTTCGTTTGATGATTGGTTGGGGGGGGGCGGGGGGATTTCATCATAAGCTGATACCAATCAAACAAAATTCCTACTAAAAGCAATACTTGGAAATCGATATGATGCTCACTAGCGACTGGCCCTATCCTCAGGTTCTAGTGGTAAGAAGTGACCAGTAGGATGCGGCAGGTTGAAGTTGAGGCTGTAACTCATCGAAGGAGACATTTTGAGGTGACAGAAGTTAGAATTCATCCACTGGCTGCCCATTGGATTGGGTTCCAGTGACTTACTTTTCTACGAGATCGCTCGCCTGCCGTGTAACCAGAAGGTCCGGGGGTTCGAACTCTCTCGGTGCTGGGTGTGTACTGCTGAATAGTCCCAAATGAGGAGGGAACAGCTGGTTGTCAGTTTCTCCCACCTGGTTTTCAAATGGTTCTCTGACTGATGTCAGCTCATGATGAAATCCTCCAACCAATGAAAACAATATTGTTCGCCAATATTTCTTGTTCTAACATTAAAAAATATTTAGACCCAACCCATTGTTTTCAATAAATCGTCGTTGTTGCCTTGGTTTAATTTCGGTGGATAGGGATTAGCAGTTATGGAATGCAGGGCAACGTAGATTTCGTCCTATTCACGACTATTCGTCATCTGGATGGGTGTACCTGCATTCCCCAGTGAGTGAGTGATGGAGCAAATCCATCAGTGAGACTCAAACCCACTACCCATGATTTCATTAGCCAGAGCGTTATCCACAAGACCATTTGAGCCACAAGAACCACCTCTTTTTTGTACAACGGGCATCAGTTATGATGATTTAATTTAATTTAGACTTTCCCGTTTGTGGATTGATTGATTGAACCGAAGTGTTCAGTCTTGTATTGTTCCGCTTTCATATTCACTTTTCTCTTTCTCTCTATCTATGTGTGTGTCTGTCTGTCTCCTTACTGAAACAATCTACCCATTATTATTATTACTATTACTCCGTTTTATTCAATTATTGTCTTCTTCCACTAAATCCATCTATCAATCAATCAACGAATGAATTTAGTTATGTTGTATCCACCTCCACACACACACACACACACACACAAAAGTCTCATTCTTTCATCTCTTTTTTTCTGCTGGTTGTTCCTCTTCTATCATTTATTTATTCATGCTGATGTATATATATGACAAAAAGTATACGGTGAAAATGATGTGAAGTAATGTCTGTTGTCATGGTATCTGTTAGATAGATAGATTAGTACTTTTATCATTATTATTATTATTGTTATTATCATTAGTGTACATGTGTCGTGTAGTATTCACTGTGTGTGTGTGTGTGTGTTGATGATGAATGTTTGATTGCATCACCCCCTCACTCTCCCTCTCTCTCGCGCGCACTCGCTCGCTTATGACTTGTAATATGGATGGATGGAATATTCTCTTGTGTAATGTGTCTATGTGTGTGTGTGCGCGTGCGTACGTGCGTGCATGCGTGTATGCATTCTGATGTACCTGGATGTCTCTGCCTGTTTGTATGCGTTTGTGTGTCTGTATGTGTGTGTGCGCATATTTTGATGAATCAATAGACACACACAATAACAGGTTCCGAAAGATTTTGATATCTTTCATTGTCTGTGTATGTGTATGGGTGTATGGGTGTGCGTGTGAGTGTATAGTGATAAAATGCATCTTTTAGACAAACAGGAAACGCGCGTGGGAGAGAGAGAGAGTGTGGGAGAGATAAGGAATGCCGAGATATACAATCAATCATACATACCATACATAGTAGTTGCAATGTAGATTATGTAAGATTATTATTATTATTATAACTATTATCTAACACAACATTCCACAGTTTTTTGTATTTATGTCTAATAATTGTTACTAAATTCAAGGAATATAGGAAATGTCAATTGGAGTTAGTTGGGGTGTAGTGTGGGAAACAAGGATGCAGAGAGGGAGAGAGAGAAAGGGGTGGATATGTAGAATGGTTTAGGTTTGTTCTTGCCGGGAATCAATCTTATCTACACCGTGATCATCATCGTCATCGACGTCACCATCTTCGGTGGAATCTAAAATGTAGTAAATATTTTTAATAAAATGTTTTTTTTAAGAGAATAACAGTTTCAGAAACACCCATCAAAATTGAAATACACAAGCATAAGATTTGAATAACTAGTTGTTTTGCGCATTATTGAGTAATATTTGAAATCATTCTTTTGGTTACCTAACTAACTAATTGTTAGTGGGATCGCTTGTAGGGATTTGATGTGGTTGATTGGTTGGAGGATTTCCTCATGAGCTGACATCACTAGCGACTGGCCCTATTCAGGCAGTGAGTGACCTGAGCTGGTTCTAGTGGGATATCGTGACCAGTGGGATACAGCAGGTTAAAGGTGAGGTAGTAATTCATCGAAGAAAACATTTGCTGGTGGTCGCGCCATGTCATGAATTGGCTGGCAGAAGTTAGAATTCATGCACTGACTGGCCATTGAATCGGGTCCCAGTGAATGGCTTAACGGTCTATGAGATCGCTCGCCTGCGATCGTGGGTTCGAACCCTGTTGGTGGTGGATGCATACTGTTGAAGAGCCACAAAGTAGGACAAAACAGTTGATTGGTTTTCCAATGGTTCTCTAACTGACGTCAGTTCATGGTGAAATCCTCCAACCAATCCGACAAAATCCCTACAAAAACAAACTGAATGACCATTTTATTCGTTTTTTTAATTTACAGCTTGATTCCACACTGCATTTTTGGTACAAGTCTGGAATTTTCAGAATAGATATCGGTAGCCCAAATTTCGCAGACCAACCATAGATATTAGGTGTTCGTCGGCAGGGGATCGAACCTCGGACCATGTGCATGGTCGGCTAGAGTCCTCACCAGTGTGGCACCGACGCTAGCTTTAGAATAAAGGAGGTTCGTTTTGTTCGGTTTAAGACTTTTCATCTGGACAGATACCGTATAACTCAATGGGAAATAGGTTCAGTCAGGTGATGAGTCCCAAATAGGACGACATCACATTGTAAACCAAATAGGGTGAATGCAGCTGGCTACCAGAAGCGCCAACACGCCAATGGTGCAGAAATCTGAATGAAAAACCCGGATCATTTTCATCCCCACCTTGTGTATTTGGCAAGTAATAACTTACTCATTGTAGTCTTGCTCCAACATAATGTTATGTGAGTACAGGTTACTGAACCAATCCTAGAATGTTATTATTCTCTCTGCTTCACATTTCTTCTTATTACAGTCCTTCCTCTTTCTCTCTTTCTCTTTTATCTACCTTGTGTGCACTACATGGAGCGTAGTAACTTGAACACTGCTACACTTTTGTACAGGGTTCCACGTTGAAACTCAATCAATCAGTTACTTCTTTGACTAATGTTCAGTATTAATTTCGTACTAAAATCCCTGCACACTCAATACAAGGTATCAATTCTTCTTCTGTAAATCTTTTTACCAAGTTATAATAACAGTGCTTATCTTTTCTTTTGTATTTAGCAACATTTAGATGGATAAATGAAATTCGTCGACTAGTCTCTACGCATAGTACTGTTTCTGTTATAAGTAGTATGAGTTTGACATGTTAATAAAAGTCATTGTTGTAATAATCAGTGAAATTCTTATTCCAGTCAGCCATTGGGACTTAATTGGCTACCAACCAATGCCACTGGCGGGAACTCTATCTTCACTTCCGACTGGATGGACTTCACTGGTCACGAATTCTCACTAGAACTCACACCGGGAAACTGCGTCCTGGAGCAAGTCGTTAGCGAGCATCGAGAGATGACTTGTAAGGATTGGATTTGTTTTTCAAGTTTGGTAGTCGGGCTAAAATCACGTATTGGTAGAAGTTCAAATTCACGGACTGGCCATGAAATCGGGTCCCATTGGCTGAATGGTACTAGATTCGAAACCTATTCAGTGAGTACTGATGATGAGTCCTAAATTAATACGAAACAGTTGTCCAGTACTCAGGGCCTTCAATGGTTCTTTAGCTTATATCAATTAATGGTCAAACTTGAGAAAAGCAAATCAAATCCTTGCAAATCAACTTTTGAAAATTAATCTAATGCTCACTGGTGACTGACTACAGGACAAAAGTTGGCTGGAGTTCTAGTGAGAAGGCATAAACAGTGGGGTCAATCCGGTAGAGAGTGAGAACAAATGCCTGCCGATGGCATGGGATGGTAGAAGTTAGCATTCATAGACTGGCCACTGAATCGGGTCGCAGTGGCTGGAATGGTCTACTAGCTTGACTTGTAATCGGAAGTTCCTGGGTGTGTTCTGCTGAAGAGTGCCAAAATAGAACGTGACAGCTGCTGTTACGTTCCCCTTGGTGGTTTTCAATGGTCCTCTAACTAAAATATCCATCCGTGATCAAACTTGTAGCAAGTCAAAGCTCTACAAACTAACTATTGTAAAATGGATTACTTTATTTTCTGATTGCATTTTTAGTATTGATTTATTTATATGTTGACAGTTTCAATTCTGTTGCTTTGTATGTGTATATATTGTAAATTTATTATAGTATCTCATGCTCCAAATGTGTCCGCTAAGCGTATACGATCAGCTGATACTGGTGGGAAGACGACATCAGCAACCGGTGATTCAAGTAAGCATAATTACTTCTCTTATTTTTCGCTGTCTTCCATCAACATGTCTGTCTTCAAGTATATTAGTAGTTATATCATCTCGCGAAATTTGTCTTCTTAATGCCTTGTTCAAATTTATCAAAGGGACTAATTGTTTTAATTATATTTTAATAGTTTACACACAATGATAAGTTTTGTTATTGGTTTATAAATTTATAAAAGATAATATAAAAAAAGAGAAAAAAGAGGGTAAAACCGGAGAATAACAAGAAGGAAGAATGGAGAAAAACAGTCGCAATACCATATAAAAATGGTACATCAGAGGCAATACAAAGAAACCTCAAAAATATCGGCATTCGAACAACCTTTAAACCTACAAATCTAATCAAAAATAAAATAAATCAACTGAAAGATCCCATAAAAATGATGGATAAAAACAATTTGATTTATAAAATATCTTGTGCTGACTGTCCAACTAAATATGTGGGGCAAACGTCCAGATCACTCAAAATAAGAGTGAATTAACATAAACGCCTAACTAAAGGTCAACCAACAGGGACACAAGCTTACAAAAATCTTGAAAAAAATACATCGATAGCTGCACATGCATGGGACAAAAACCACAATATCGATTGGGACAATGTGTGTATTCTAAAAACAAACATGAACAAATGGAAGGAAAGACTCATAACAGAATCGATATTCATTAAAGTCACACCGGATACATGTAACAAGGGTGACTCAGTACAACTATCAACAACTTGGAATATAATTCTAAATACAAACACATGAATGAATGTGGAGTATAATTCTGAACACACATATGGACACACAAAACATGAATGAGCAAAAAAAATAATAATAATTAAGAACTATATATATGAGTACAAATCATAAATATGTGAATAAAACAATTCCAACAGTGGTGTGAACACGGGCAGTAATTTTGCTCGAAATATTACCAATAACAAAACTTATCATTGTGTGTAAACTATTAAAATATAATTATACTTTATTTGATCTAATCCACAATGCTCAAACTTTTTACTGATATTAATATATTAGTAGTAGTAGTAGTAGTATTTTGGAGGGAGTGGGAAGGAATCTGACACAACCAATCGGGTGGTGGGTCATTGTTTTGTGAACCCCAGCAATACCGCCTACTTTACCCCCCCCACCTCCATTCCTCACAGAGTAACAAATGTGGTTCATCGTCCAGTATGGTTTCACACACTGTACAGTTAACTGTTCTCTAATGGTAATGTAACGACAGAAGACAAGGGCCAGACAGCAGATCCTTTATTGAGAAAATCACGAGATATTTATAGATTTCTATGTATATTATTGTCAGTAGAGAAGCAAGGTCTTCTGATTGGTTGTTTTCTTACTGAAGGTTATTCCGTATTGTTTTGACTATTTCTTAGAAAGTTGAGCCATATATCAGCGAATCATATTTGCACACGTTAAGTCTGCTGTGATTGGTTGGTAAATTCCTCAAGTTCAAGCTTTTTTATTGTTTTTTTTCTCACGACTTCGATTCGGGACGTAAACATTGACGTAAATTGTTGTCTACAATCTCGGATAGCAGGCAGATCTCACCACGGTACTAGTCATACTTGTATGCTCAGTGGATTAAAACATCTTTTTGTAGTTTGCAAGTTAGTGTTTTTCTGTCCCATTGATTGGTTATAATAGATTGAAATGTTCGGTGTCGGTTGACACGTTGGTCCGCAGTTCAAGTAGTCTAGTCGATAGTGCTATCTCAGTGGAACTACTAATACTCACTTACTGGAGGAGTTGTGGGTTTATCCAGATGGCGAGTCCCAGAGAAGACGAAATGTTCACACGGGATTTGTCAGATTTCATTTGACTTGTAATTTACCATTTCTTCGTCTGCTCTAATCTTAATTCAGGATACTTTTAGAAGTGAATCGAGAAGGCCTACTGATCTAATTGGTGATCACCCCAACATTTTACATGAGTCGTCTGTCCTCAGTGTTTACTGATAAACAGTGATATTTTCCACTTGGTCCTAAAATATCAGTTCATGATAAAAAGCCATTCTTCGACAGATTATAATTTCATATATTATTTATCTACTACACCAGAAGGGTGTAAACGTTTTGTGCAGAGTTTCGGTGATGCTTGTTACTTTCTCTATGTTTGAAATAACTAAATTAGGTTTGAAATTGTAATGCGGTTAACATTTTAAATTATTATATATATAATACAAAAAGTGTCTCACATGGGATATCGTATAAATTGTTTTGTTTAAACGTATCCTCCGGGACAACATCAACGAGATACTAACACAATGCCTTAGAAATGCGGTAAAAATAGCATTCCCTGCTGCTGAATTATTCTGTGTCTTCAAAACCACTGCTGTTTCGCGTTCGAGAGTAAAAAATAAACTGCCTAATTTCGCCTCTTTCATGAGTATCTTATACCCATTTAACTACTCCTGTGGAGTAAGCCAGTTAATTGCATAGGCCGTGTTTCTTGTCGAATTTCCTAACATCACCCTGCGTGGTTAAGGAGAAACAAAGTCTATTTTTACCGCTGTTCTATCTCATCTTGTGGATGCAGAACACAAGGTTGATGTTCACAAGGCGATTTTTAGGGTCATTTACCTCATAGCAACAAATCTCAATTTCCCCTTAAGAGTTCGACTACTAAATATTGTTGAGGCTGGCCGTTGGGATCTACCTTAAGAAGCCTAATTTGTGTGTCCAAAAGAAGCTGGTTCAGACATTATCCTTACCTTGGCCAACTAGGTTTGAATGATCCTCGATATTTTTGTAGAAATTTCCTTAATTTTAGTTGATATTCTATTTGCTATTATATCTTTATTATTATTATTATTATAATTTAAGCATCTTTAATGAACTGTGGTAATTCCATAGTGATCTTACTTAACGAATCGATATTATTTAAAAAGCACACGAATATTGTTATTGACTACTATTCTAATTGTATAGCCAAAAGAGGAGGAAATTATCAAAAAGGGTATTCTTTGCTGGCTGAATTATTTTGTGTTTTATAGATGTCTGAATAAATATTTTCTCTGTATCCGCATTGATTGAATTGTTCCCTTCCCCCCCCCCCCTCTTCATCTTCTTCATTTTCAGATGAACTCACTCTACCTCCTGGACCACCAGTTTATCTTGATGTTATTTGGGTGCCTAATTATCTTATTCGTGTGCCTCAATCAATGATTATCGATTTCTTTACACGTGTACGTTCAAAAATGTACATCCTATCGGGTGAAGCACTTCATCCTAATATAGCTGAAGCATTGATTACAGCTAAAGCGAAATGGAATCCTGATGGTAAGCTAGAAGAATAGCTGAATGTCAATAGAATTATTCCATTTTACCCCCCTTATTCTTATTCTTTTTTTTCATCATCTTTTTCTGTGTACTATAACCGAGTGTTACTGGCGTGTTTTGGTTGTCGTCTTAACAGTTGACTAGGATGGGCCTCCAGAACATACGACGACACTTTAACCAACTGATTACTTGAAAATGCATTCTGCCTCACCTCCCCTCCCTCTGCACTGAGGTAGACTGACTCAAAAGTCCAGATTGAGTTAGATTTATTAGGCAAAATACAAATCTTCAGAAATTTAAGCCATAAAGATTTTTACTTCGGGTACCTTAAACAGAAAGGGAGTTGGTGTTGCGTTACCACAGTGCCCAGGGGACAACTGCTTGAGGTCGCTCACACACATGGCCTATATGAACTAGTTTTTTGGATTGGTTCCGTATTACCGAAACTATACCTCTGGTTACGGACCACTGTAGGGTAGTAAGGCGGGATGTACAATTCTTGGGGTTGACCTTTTCTAACACCCTCTTTCCAGAGTGGAGAGAGAGACAGCATAGCTGGCTGGCATACTGGTCGTCTGAGGGAAACATCCCTGTTCGCCAGCAGCATAAATTCGCCCACAGGCCCCCAGCATAGTGTGCAGAAAAAATTCTTACACTATGCCGGTAACTGCTTTTAGTCTAATCTGTGTGCTAACAACTTTCCTAGCATGGTAGGACCTTCAGGAACAAAAGTTCCAGCCAGTGTAACTTATTGGGTCATTACGATGTGCGAGCCCGGTGACCACCACGTCAAGGTAGCTGCTATCAGTAGTCGGGAAGCCATAAACAAAATAAATCTGATTTGATTATCAGACCTCAGACAATTAAGCCATAAACAGACGAATCAAAACTGTCCGAAAAAGATTATTATTATCAGTTCATGCATAAATCATGACTTCATCTGGCTAGCAAAAAGACTCATACGTCCTAGTCCTGAAATTCTGTTTAATGAAATATCTGATGGATTAATTTATAACATGGCTTAAAATACTTTGATTGAACTCGAAATGGTAAGTAATTAGTGTCATGCATCTAGCCCATATGTTTAGTGCAAACTAAATTCTATCATTCAAGTTTTTAATGTGGCCATCATGCCACTAGGTAGGTAGGTAGGTAGGTGGCTTTCCATCATGGCGGCAATCGGTAGGAAACCACCGCCTGACCTAGGTTTCGGGCTTGTTGACACACACACACACACCCTCGTCAGCAAAGTGTATCTGTAACCTTGAAGAAACCCATGTCTCCTTTGAATAGCTCAATGGTAATGTCTCTGACTTCACCATTGGGTGACTCAGGTTCGAATTTCAGAGGGGATATGAGTTCCTTGCTGACAAATGTCACCAATCACGAAATCGAGGTCTAAGGCTTCCCAAATGGTTACCATCAACCGTCTAATGTGGCTTAAAATGTTGTGCATATCTAAATTTAGCCGATGAGATTTTGTAAATAAAATTATCCACATTAAATTGGGCGTCAGTTTCTATGACGAACTGTCAACAAGATGTTGCTAAGTCAGTCATACAAAGCACATAGGATTATAAGTGAACTAGTATTTGGATACATTTATTCTAATGTACTTGAGTAGTCTAGCAACATGTCGGTTAATTTCATTCGCTTATATAAATCAGTCGAATGAATGCCTACAAGCTTTACTTGTGAATAGGAAATGCGTTTTCACTTCCAAGTGATGAGACTACCCTTGCGGAAGAGAAACCATAATAGATCTGGTTCAGGTCATAATTCATAGAACTACTCAGCCTACTGACTAATAATTATAAAATATCCTCTGGAAAGAGTTTCGAATTAATTTGAAGTTTATAAACAAATTACCGCTATTGGTGATGTATATTTCTCAGAATAAGTCAATCTGCTGATAATTACTTCTTCAATTGTGATCTCACTGCTATTGATTCAATAATTTCCCTTTATTTTTGGCATTCTGTCAAATATAAACATTCTCTCATTATTATGCCTTTCTATTTAGCGCATTCCATTTGGCTGTTTGCTATTTCTCTTTAATTTGTATGTGTGTGTGTACGTGTATCCTATCTGATGCATTATGCATGCATGTACATATCTATAAACATTAATCTAATTGCCTATTTCCTCTTTCATGAATATTACTGTATTGACTATCATATAATCTATGTATCCCTCACCCTACGGGTTACTTACTTACATACTTACTCATCTACGCCTTTTTTAAAAACTCCATTTATCCCTTCCCGTTTTTATTTAGAGAGATATATACACGCACATATATTGAGGTTAGGCGTCGGTCGAGTGCTAGGTAAGCAGGGGAAATCAATCGACGAGGCTGTGAAGCAGTTACATCGATTGAGATGGTTAGGACATGTGTTACACACCAAGCCATCGCCTTCCTCGACAATGGGAAATGTTAACTGACATAGGATCAGGCTGAAAATGAGCTAGCGGCGGTCAAACTAAAACATGTTGGCATCAGTCAATGAAATCCACAACAGTTAGTTTAAGCCAGCCAGCCACGTAGGAAGGTGTAAACTTCCTGACTGGTTGGGGTCCTCAGGACGGTAAAAAGCAATGGCGACTGGAGACAATTGGTGATATGGCTCAAAATCGTTCTCAGTGATGGCTGGTGCAGATGCATCCACTCCTTGTGACTTATCATTTCCAATGAAACTGTTTTGTTCTTCGTTATTACTCTTCCTTTGTCTCACACCTCTGTTTACTATCTCTATTATGCATTTCTTCTGCCTTCTTCTGTTGCTTTGTGTGGTATGTGGAGGGAGTGTGGCGACTTGAACTGGTGCACATCGGTGCAAAGTTGTTCTCTGTCTAAAACAGATAGACAGACAGACGTATATCTACTTTGTTAAATGGTGATTGTTCATTTGATTAATCTTTTTAGATACGGGTGCGATGATACATGCATGCAGGGATACTTTTTAATCTTTTTGAGGAGTGTTAATTAATTCATCGCTCTAGGTTTGTATTCATCATTTGCCTGTATTACGATGTGATAGATATATATGTAGAGTAAGAGAGAGTTATGAAGGAATGTCACATAAGTATTGTTGAAAGTTTACATATTCTAGGAGAGCATCGGTATGTCAGAAGGTGGTGAGGTGGTGTGTGTGTGTGTGTGGGCATTACCACTGATATCTGTTTGCACAAGAGCTGGTGATTCTTTTAGCCTAGTGATCTACTGAGTGATACTTTGATGCCTTTTGATATAGTTGTGTGTTCTCTGGGCTGGACGCTTTCATTACCCCTTACTGGACAACATCTTCAGCGCATACACTTTAATTTGATGAAGTGAACTTTTAGATTTATCCATCAGTTTATTAATCATCTCTCCTGGTGGATGACCTTGAACCTGATTGGTTGTTTTTGTGAGTTTTCACATCTTCTTTGCTACTTGTATTGGAACTGATTGTTTCTTTGACTTGAACTTTGACGCTTTGTGTGTCAGATTTCTTTCTTATCGGTTGGTAAATTTTGTTCATCTCGATGTGTCTATTGATTGATGTTTCACTGGAATAGTCAGGCAGGCTTCTAAAAATTCTCCAGCATTCTTGATGTTTCCTCTGTCTAATTTTGGACGTTGGTTGTCCCAGTCGAATTGTTGTCCGTGGTTGTCTGTATGCAGTAAGGTGATATGAAGGAGTGGATGTCATGTCTTTTGACAGCTAGTTTATGATCATGGATACAAAGACGAAGAGGATGTCCACTTTGATCAATGTAGTGTTTTTTGCAAAAATGCTAAAGAATTTTTAGAAGCCTGTCTGGTATTCCAGTGAATCATCAATCAGTAGACATATCGAGATAGACAAAATTTATCAACCAATAAGAAGGAAATTTCACACACAAAGGGTCGAAATTCAAGTCAAGGAAACAATCAGTTCCAATACACAAATAGCCTAGAAGGTGTGAAAACACACAAAAACAACCAGTCACGTTCAAGGTAGTCACCAGGAGAGATGACTAATAAACTCACGGAGAATTCTAAAAGCTCACTTCATCAAATTGAAGTATGCGCTGACAACAAGCGTCGTTGTTAGCCGTGAAGTTCAGATTTATGCATTTACTGAAATGATAATCCTCTTATTAGACAGTTTTTAAGTGTTGGTTTGTAGGGATTTAGTTGGTTTCAGGATTTCATCATGAGCTAACATTAGTTAGAGAACCATTGGAAAACCTGGGTGTACTGGACAGCTGTTTCGGCCTAGTTTGGGACTCTTCATCAGTACGCACCCACCGGGATTCGGACCCAGGACCTTCCGGTTACAAGGCGAGCTCGTATACCATTAAGCCACTAGGACCCGATCCATTGGCTCTTGAATTCTAACTTCTGCCAATTCACGACATAGCGTGACCGCTAGTCAATGTCTTCGCTGGCGAGTATTTGTCCTCGCACCCGACCTGCTGCACCCTACTGGTCACGACTTCCCACTGGAACCCAGGTAACTACCTACCTGAATAGATCCAGTCGCCAGTGAGCATCTCATTGGTATTTAAGTGTTGGTTTGTAGGGATTCGGTTGGTTTCAGGATTTCATCACTAGCTGACATTAGTTAGAGAACCATTGGAAAACCTGGGAGTACTGGACAGTTTTGATTCGTGGCCTAATTTTCTGAGGTTACATAACCAATCAGATTTGTTTATTTATGGGATTCTAAAAACTATTGGCTGAATACTGTTGATGATATGTTTCGAAATTGTTGTCAATGGTTGGCTTAGATGCATTCAGCATTAGTGATCTGTCAGATCTATATTCCTATTCTTTCTCCCTTATATATCTGCTTATTACGATTCTTTCAAATCTCTTTTTTTGTCTTGTTTTGTCTACTACATGGAGTGTGGTAACTTGAACTGGTGCTGCTGCACACTTCTCTGCAAAGTCCTCTTCTGAAACCATTCAGTCAATTAGCCAGTGCTCCTTTTTCGTCAGTAAGCAGCTTTGTATAATTCACACTAGTTCATTAAAGTAGTCGTTGTATTGTAACGACGGAAGACAAGGGCCAGGCAACAGACCGTTTATTGAGAAAATCAAGGGGTATTTATAGAATTTTATGTGCATTATTATTAGAGTTATTGTTTGCGGAGAAGCAACGTCTTCTGATCAGTTGTTTTCTTACTGAAGGTTATTCTGTACTGCTTGTGACCGTTTCTTAGAAAGTTAAGCCATATATCAGCGAATCGTATTTGCACACATTAAGTCTTCTGTGATTGGTTGGTGAGTTCCTGAAGATTAAGCTTCGTTGTTGTTGTTTTGACCCCGGTTCGGGACGTAACATTGACGTGAATTGTGGTAACACATTGAGCGTGTTCTCCAGAAAGATAATAAACTATATCCAGTTGAAAAAACGAATCAATATACTGTTTCATGAAGATTATGACTAACTGACATGTGACATAAATAGTTCATTTTATTACAACAAAATAATTTCTCCTCTCTCTTTCCCTTTCTTAGATGTTGCCTATCTGTGTCGTTGTGATGCCAATTCATCTGATGCTGTCATTACAATCCTGCCAACTTATGAACCAAAAGAATGGATACGTTGGCTAGAAACACCTTGTGGTCGATTAGATGAACAAAAAGGCTCAGATCGACTAACAGCTAATCACTTTCGACTATTGCCTGCTGTGAATCTATGCAGTACACAATTTAATGCTGGTGATATGATATTTGAATGTGAAGGATTACGTGTGGAATTCTAAAACATTTTGATATTATACACATATATATATCTATATCTATGCAATATGTATGTATGTGCATTCATGTGGTTTTTTTTGGGGGGTGGGTGGGTGGTTGATGAGACTTTGTGAAGCTGAAAATGGAAAACAATTGAATCATGTTTTACTTCATCTCTCTCTCTGTCTCGCGCGCGCGTGTTGTCTCTCCGCCTCCCCCCCCCCGCCCTTCTATCCGCGCAACAAGCCCCTCTATTTCCTTTCTTTTGCTTTGTTTGTGCTTTCATTGTGTGTGTGTTTTCGTCTTTAATTCATGATAAAAACAATTATGTCTTGAAGAGAGACAGTTTGTGTGATCTCTCATCTATTTGATATTTATAGCCGAAGTTTCGTCTTCTTCTGCTTATTCGTGTTCGTCTTCGCCTTCCTCTGAAAAAGGCGTCTTTGTATCTCCTCTTCACCTCTTCTTCTCGCATTCATTCATTCACCGCCGTTATTCATGAGATAACTATCTCTCTGTCTGTGTGTGTGTGTGTACTGCACATCGCTTACAACAAATAAACCATGATTACCTCAAAAATTAATCAATAAATTGTGTTACTTTTAACAGGGATTCAATTGACACAAGTGCGCGCGCGCACACACACAGTCAATTCATTCTAGTGTGTGCTTGTGTGTGTGTGTGTGTGTGTGGAGGGGCGGTGTATACACGTGTTGAACAGTTTCCTCTTATCGCTTTGCTCTGCTTTTTTCTTCTTACTTTGTCTTGCCATCGTTTTTATGTCTTTCCTGTTGTCCCACATATTTTCTTTTTGTAATCCTCGTCCGCTATTTTTTGACCAAGAAACATTTTGTGTGTGTGTTTGTGTCGTAAAATTGAAGTGTGTACGAATCTCCTTTTTAACATGGATGAATGCGGATATTTATAGTACCCTTTATTTTTTATTTCATCGCTTTAATTCACTTCTTGGACAAGTCTACAAAAAAAACAAGAAGGTGGGGAACGCGGGTGGTGAGGTATACACACAACGAGATGTGTAATCATTCGACCTCTTGCCTTTTTTTTTAGTTTTCTTTTCTTTTTGTCCTCTTCATTTTCCCTTTTGAGTTTTCTTCGCCTTTTTCTTCTTTCTTTCTCTCTGTGTTTTGTATACTTTTGTTGAATATTGACCTCGCTTTATTCGGCTCTGTTTGTGTGTCCGTCCGTCCGTCCGTCCGGGGTCTTCATCACAGTGTGATATGTATACATAGCTCTAACTCCTTCTCAGTCATTTAGACAAAGGGAAATGTTTGATAGAAGGGTGAAAAAGAGAATCCTATGCGACATTGTTCTCTTTTATATTTTCTATATTTGTTTTATTTATTTTATGGCTCCTTCTCCTCTCTCTCCGGTTTGTTCTTGTTCTTCTGCTTCTTATCCATGCCCTTCGTTCTTGGCATTGCTTCGCCTTGTGTTGTGAGCCTCTCGTAGTGGGCATATGTCTCTCTCCCTTGTTCGTGTGTGTGTATGTGTGTGTCGGTGTCGGTGGTGTTGAGTTGCCTTACATTTGATTGTTTTGTGTTTCATTGTCAACGTTTCGCCTTTCTCCTTCCTCTCTCCTTCTCTTTCTTTGTTTCTTTATTCATTTAAAGACAAAAATAAAGGAAGAAGAGGATTGTGTGTGTGTGTGTGTGTGATCGATCACTACTGATCATTTGTCACTGCCGCCACCGCCGTCATCATCGTCATTTGCCACCGCTGTTGGCCTTCGTCATCATGATCACCATCGTTGTCGCCGTTGTCGTCATCTTTCTCATCATTCTTTGCCATGATCATGATCATCATGTTTTTGGGATTATTTGTGCCATTTCGTTCGTCATAACTGACGTTTTTCCTTGTGTGTGTGTATGCGTGGGTATGTATGCGCGTTTTCCTCAGCACTGTCGACTGATTAACTGACTGACTCATTATGTGTGCTTGCGTGTGTGTGTGTGTGTAAGTGTTGCACCGTCTTGCCTAAATAACACGCCTACAAATCCATTGGTGTTAACTCAATTCATTAATTAATTCATTTCAATGACAATAGTAATACTACTAAATAATACTACTAATAAAATGACAATAATGCCTCATATAAATATGTTTTACAATACACACACACACAATTTATTCTATTAGTAATAAATACTTACATAATTGAATCACTGTTATTGATTTATTGTTTTTTTCGTTGTTGTTGAGAAGTTAACGTTGACTGTTGTCATAACATACCACAAGAACAAAGAGGTTACCCATTATGAGATGGTTGGAGGCAGTTGGCAAGATGTCTTGCTTAACCTAGATAGATTTCGTGCCAGCTGGCACTAACCAGTCAGTCAGCAAAGCATATCTACAGCCTTGAAGTGATTTGTATCCCTTCTGAGATTTGGACCTGAGTCACTCCAGTGCTGCCTGCAATCAGAGACGTTGTCCCTGATCTGTTAGGGCTGGCGATTAACCTACTGTAAGACTACATTGAATAACTTTGATTATTATTATTATTTCCTTTAAATTCCTAGAGGAATATAGGGCTTCAGCTGCACATGCATTCATCTCCTCTTCACATGACCTCCTCCAAGTCACCCTTGCACTGACAACCAACAACTTGCCGCTTCCTTTTCGGGTTCCACTCAAGCACTGGCTTATCTAGTGATGTCACTCACTTGATGGTTTCCTCAGAGACTGGCCAATCCACCTGCATTTCTTCCTGCTTATTTGTTGCACAAATGGTTTCTGCTGGGTTGGTTCGCTCCTAGAGATCCCTGGCCATCTGATCTTGAGTAGTATTGGGTGAAGACAGCTGTTGATGATAGTCTGTAGTCTGTTTGAAGTGCTCTTTATGACGCGCTGTTCAAGTCTCTGATCCGTATAGTAGCACTGACTTCACGTTGGAGTTGAAAATGTGGATCTTATTTTCATTTTCACACTGAGTAGTGCTGTTGACGTCCACACAGACTTGAGAGAAATGAAAGCCTTTTCTTTCTTTCCCGATCCTCGTTGCTTTGATATCCTCGTCAGTTCCGTCCTTCTGTAGTTGTAGCGATGTTTCCCAGGTAACATATGGTTTGAGATTTGTGTTGAAAAAGTGAATCTTGTTTTTTAAGCTTACTGTAGTAGAATTTAGAGCGATGAATGTTATTTATGTCGCCCTTCCAATCTTGGCTTTGATATATCCATCCATGCTGCCGCCTGTATCTCAATCGATGCTACCTAAGATGAATGAAAGATTTCTCCTGTTTATGGTGATTGATACCTGTTGTTGTTGTTGTTGCTCTACGTTCACTTGAAGTCCTGTCTTTGTTGTCTCCTCTTCTACCTTGTTGGTTTTTATGTACAGATCTTCGAGTTAGTGTGTGGCATTAGACATGAATTATCCATGAAGTCTCACATATATCTGTCTCATGAACCCTTTCACTACGAACAGTAAGATCATCGATGATAGTAGGAAGCCTTCAATGAGTTTTCTGTTGTTGTGAATCACTTGATGATGTGGCATTATCAATCATATAGCCGTTGAATGAGGTTGATACAAGTTTGTTGTACTGCAGTCCGTAGTGTTGAAGCAGAACCTAAATCACTTCTTGGTCAATGCTATTGAAGTCCTTTTCAAAGTCTATGAAGTTGAGATACAGGGTTGACTACCATTTTGCACTTTGTTCGATGATGATGCGTAGCGCTTCAATTTAATCCACACAGTTCGGTTTTCCTGAATATAGCTTGTTCTGGGTGGAGTTTTCCATCCATCATGGGACTTATTATTTCACTTGGTGAGAATAGGAGCATGGTCCCGTGTCAGTCTTTGCAAAAGCCTGAGTTGGCCCTCTTTGGTAGTTTAACAAGATTGCCTTTTTACACTCAGTACGTTCCTTGTAGACGTCATGCAATAGTGGCTTGAGGATATCCGCTGCGGTCTTCGAACCCGTTTTTATTGCTTCTACAGGAATTACGTCTGGCGACGTAGTTACCTGATATATTGCTCAAGCTTCTTCGAAGGCTTTCGGCTTGACTTTGAAAGTTTCTTGTACTAGATAATGGTCTGAGTTCATATCTCCTCCTCTTCGCGATTTTGTACCCTGCGGGCTATATCTGCATTTCTTTCAGATTGAGAGGAAGTATGTCTGGTTTTTGGTGTGTCCATGTGGTAAAACTCATGCTGCCTCATGTATGTCCTTGTACATGTACATGCTGCCTTCAATCACCAAATCACTGAAGGTGCAGAGGTCTGCACATAGTTCACCTTTTTCATTCATTTCACTGAGAACCTATCGACCTTTAATGAGTTCTCTTCCCATGTAATCTGCTTCCAGTTAGAGTTGCATTCTTATCAGCCACATCAGAATTCTGAAGTTGCCAACTGGATGCAGTTTCAAGGGGCTTGTAGAAATCCACCTTCTTTGTTTGTTCTATGTCTTTTGTAGGCATATAGCATTGAATGAATAATGGTAACTTTTCTACTTTTGAGATGTTACTTGTTGCTTTGACGCTGTGGGTTATTTGTTCTAACCGCATAATAGCCTTCGAATTTGTTAGTGACATCACGTTGACCGCAATCTCAGTGTGCTCGTGGTTGTCGTCTTGGTGACTGTAGTATATTATTAGTTTCAAGGGTCCACTTCCATTTCACTGGCTCTTACACATTCCCAGCACTTCTATACCGTATCTTCTCGTTTGTTTTGCAATCTGAGCAGCCTTCAAAGCTTCCAACATCGTGGATACACTCTTTATCCCAAAATATTAGACTTAAAGTACATCACACCCAGCCAGCTGACAGCTCCCTACACGGCTACATCAATTGGTAGTATGTATTAGTCAGCATGTTCTCCGTGATCTACAAAATGCCCCTACTAAGTTAAAAGAGAGATATAACCGTCAATACGACCTGGTAGCTTACGAGTCCCTACGAAGTAGATTTGCGAGTCTACCGTTCTCAAAGAAAATCACCACGACGCGATACCGCTGACACAGGAGACAGGACAAACTGTTGACTGATAGCGCTTACTCTCTCAAATTAACAACGTGAAGGCTTGACAGCAACTGTGCAAATTATGGCTTCGAATGACCTTCAGAGGCACTAATTTCATTGGCAAGTTAAAACAGTCAACAACCAATAGGGTTCAACCGTCATAAGGGGGGGGGAACTACAAATATCGCAGTACTGCAAATAAAGGTAGAAGCCGAAGGATTTGGAAAAATTAGGTTCATATAAGAAAGAGAACATAAATTTAAATGAATTGCGTCAGAAGGTTATATTTATCCTGTTCAATCGAAAGCAGGCAATCCCATATTTGTCGAAGAACGAACGTCATGCATTACAAAAACATTGAGATCAGACAAATCTGTTGTTATAACTGAGGCTGGCATAGGCAATATCACTGTGATTCTCAACAAAAATGAATGTGACAAGAAAGCTTTGGAACATATCGAAGCAGATCCATACGCACTAGTACCAATAAACAAAATGCCCAGTACAATGAACAAGGTTTAGAGGCTAACGGTATTGACGTTCATGGATAGTACGAAGTATGCCAACGCAAGATCTAATACCCACAACTTCTTTAGTATTCGTTCCGCGTAGACCAAAGGCAAAGCAAAACATCAGAATTGATCGTCGAAATTGCGAGATATATTTCCGGACCAAATCTAAGTGCGAGATGATTGCTTAGCTGGTTAGGGATCGTGCACAAACGTGACTCGATGGAGTACCAAATGGCGTGGATGCTTGACCGGAAGCCTTCAGCTAAACAAGACGACTTAAACAATGCGGGTCAGCATCCAATGTTCAGTGATGATTACTGTGGTCAGTAATTTTAGGGAATTATTTACCGCTCTCAGTATGTAATCTACTGAGAGAATTGAAACCAAAACTAGGGAATTCAGTTTGGTTTTCAATAGCTCCCAAAACACACTCGACTTTCGAGATTTTATGGAAAGGCCGAAAATCCACAAAATAGATGTTCCCTTTAAGACCAATAATTGATTTCACCAATTCAGTAACATAATACAATATTCCTTCGAACATTAAAACTAATGGGGTGGAGTTTAAAAGAAAAGTAATAGATAATATAACTGCATCGGTGGCACAGCGGTGGTGGAATGCTCACCATCCACGGCCTATGTGGTTCAGGGTTCGATCTCCGGCCCACGTACTCCTTTACCTCGTTAAGCCAGTAGTAAGACTGGTAAAGAGGAAGGTTGGGTATCAGGCTAGCTAGCAATCCGATCCCGTAAAAATAAACACCACTACTACTGAAATTTCCAGCTAGAGGCTTGAATCCGTATATTCTTCTGGGGACGTGATGGAATAACTAATTAACTGAGTAATTAAAATAGATATAACTACTGAAGAAGACGAAATTATGACAAGTTTTGATGTAGTTTCTCTATTTACTAGTATTTCTTTATGTGATTCACATGATATTATGAAATATGAATTTGAAAACAATCGGGAAGTATTAGTTAAATCTTCAATAACAATAGAAGAAGAAGTAATAAAATACCTAAAACTTCTAAGTATTGATTTGTGGGGATTTGATTGGTTAAAGGATTTCATCATGAGCTGACATTGATTAGAGAACCATTGGAAAACCAGCTGGGAGTACTGGATAGCTGTTTCGTCCTAGTTCAGGACTCTATCAGTACGCGCCCACCGGGACTCGAACCCAGGACCTTCTGGTTACGAGGCGAGCTCACTAGTGACTTGCCCTATTCAGGTAGGTAGTTATTTACCTGGGGTTCTTGTGAGAAGTCGTGACCAGTAGGGTGAAGCAGGTCGGGTGTGAGGGCAAATAGTCGCCGAAGATATTGGTTACGGATCGTGCTATATATATCTTGAATTGACAGAAGTTAGAATTCATGGGTCATTGGAATGGGTCCCGGTGGCTTAATGGTATACGAGCTTGCCTTGTAACCATTAGGTTCTGGGTTCGGGTTCCAGTGGATATGTACTGCCGAAGAGTCTGAAACTAGGCCAAAACAGCTTTCTAGTACTCTCAGCTGGTTTTTCAATGGTTCTCTAACCAATGTCATCAGCTCATGATGAAATGATGTAACCAAAAACTTTGTTTAGAATCTAGATATTTTACCTTTAAAGACAAACTATACTGTTAGGCAAATGGCGTTGTAATGAGATTTCCAGCATCTCCAGCCGTAGCAAATCTGTATATGAAAGCTGT